GACGGGACACACAAAAAACCTGCAGGCACCACGGCCTCATCCACACAGGATTTTTTCTCTGCAACAGATCAGGATAATTTGCTTATTAGCTTCCCTCCTTCTGAGCTGTATCACACTGGCTCCACAGTAAGTCCTGGCTCTCACTTCAGTCATCATGCCACACCGATCAATTTAGAGGAACAAGGCTGTCTCCTGGAGGAGAAAGGGTCTGGCCAGGGGTCCTCCCTCCCCAGCCTGCCACTCCGGACAGGGCAAGTGGCAAGTAGAGAAAGAGTGCAAAGTACTTGAATGAGAAGGCCACCATTAGCTTTAAGAACGGAGATGTTCCTCGGTTATAATTATGTCAAAAAGCTTCATGTTTTTCAGTTAAGAGTCACAGGGTTTGTGCAATCATCCTTGAGAGGAGTATAACAATAACACAGTTTCAAAGACCAGAGCATAACACAAAAACAGCTGCAAAAGCTCTAAAACACAAACAGGTCATCTTTGCTAACCGGGAAGAGGGGAAGAAAAAGCACTTTTGGCACTATTACAGTAAATTAATAATCATGTTCTACTCTCTCCACTTCATTAAAAGTAAGAATACTTTCCAAAACTGCTGCATACTCAAAAGTAGAGGTTGTGAGTTTGGATACTCAGTGTTGATGGGACACAAGATGAAATGTTGTGCTGAATGTTAAGGGCACTCTGCAGAAACTTGTATGAATGGCTTAGAGATAGACCTCAGTTTGCACATTAACATGTGTTATATTATTGGGAGCGTTACATACAACTCCTTTTCACAAATCCGCTTGGATTTAAACATTTTCTTCAAAGCTCACACACCGTGTCACATGAAGAACCTGAAAATGAAACCTACCAGTCAAGTTATAGGCAGAAGGGAAACCTCTCTAGTTAATCATTAATAGCCAAGCTGAAACACAGAAAATAAAGCCAACATGCACTCCAGATTTTACATATACATTCAGTTATATTTTAAGTAAGTCACCTGATGCTTTTTTTTTAACTAAGAATCATGCATTTTGTTAACCTTCCAAAATGGTTACATGCAGAGCCACAGCTGCTCTCTCTCCTCTGAATCCAATATAGCATCAACAGCTTCTAGCAGCTATGGATCCACTTACGAGGCCTTGACTCAACAGAAACCAAAACATGGAATTTACTTTAAATATATGCATAGTTATTCTGCTGACTCAGGTTAGCTGGGCTGACTTTTGATGTCCAATATTTGTCTGAAAACAAAGAGCAATTTAGAAGATGTATGCAGTTCCATGCACTACGTAGCTTCATCTGTTCAGACAAGAGCTAAGTTTCAATGCTGGGGTGGGCAACATGCCCTGTGCGCCTGTTCCTGTTAGGAACAATGGCACAAGGAAAAGGATGCACATTGAAGACTGCCACCGCACGCCCAGGGACTGCATGGATCTGGGAGATGCAGCAGGCTCCTATTTACAGTACATATATTTAGACTTCATATGGATTTTTTTTTTTTTTAACAAAGACAACAAAAAGAATGAAAATTATACCTGTAAGGTCTTCTGAAATGCAAGACCTTCATTCACACACAGACTTGTCGTTTTACCAGATATATTCTAGCAAACTTCCAAAAAGGACCCCTAACACCTTTTTGTTTTGTTTGGAAAGCTTGGTGTTTTCTCCGTCACTTCAAGCTTTGGAAACACCTTTATTGCAATTAACACAGCTACTCTGCAAACACAATTTCTAATAAATGATCTTAAATGCCTGGCCTGAACTTTCAACTTGGCCGCATGGAACCAGAACAAACAGACCATGCACAAGCCAGAGAACCAGCAAACCCCAACATATTCAGACCCTTAGAGCTAAGGTGGGGTGCCCAACCTGTCGCGCTCCTGCCAGGACAAGCTACGCAGCCCACGGCCCTTTCTCCCAAATGTCCTTGGGATGCAGGCAAGGAGCAAGGAGTTGCTACGCATGCTGCAGCCATTGGCTATGAGAGGGAGCCTCTGCAGCCTGATGCGGCAGGGAGAGAGGACACCACTGCCATGACGCAAATGAGAAAAGTAGAGGGTTATATTTGAATTCCTAGATCTGAAGCTACCCAAAGCAGAAGAAAACCACTTTCCCATCTAGTCACAGCAGAAAAAGCTTGAAGGATGTTTTTAGTAGCATGCACAGTATTTAAGCAAATCCAGAATGCAGAAATAAAGAAACATCTCACTTGCCCACAGACGATCATAAGGTTAATTCAAAAATATTCTTACAAGCGCTAGGAAGGGAATGAATTGGTTGTTTTAGAGTTCCCATAGGTGAGTCAGTAACTTTACAGAAAAATCAAAGGGACAGGTCCTGCTTGAGGAAGAACAGAACAAAAAAAGTAAGTCTGAGCAACAGGGAAACAGAAGAGTTGAAGACACAGTAAGACGTTCATGCACTCAGCCACATGCCTGCCAGGACAGCTTCACCCAAGAGCTTCCCTGCCCATAGTTCAAACCTCATTTGTGACCTAAAGCAGAATTACTTCTGCAGCTTTATCATTTGATAAATAAACCCCTTCTTGATTTTTTTTATCCCTTAGTGACAGCAAGAGCAACATACTTCACCACGTAGCACATTAAACAGATCTGTCAAGGTGGGTACATACAAAAGAGTTTTCATAACAACATTTGACATCACACTCAGACCAATGCTTTATTCCTTCAAGGTAGGGATCAAAAAGGCAAAGAGGGGAAAAAACATCTGTTACTGTTTTTTCTTCCATATTTAGCGCTGCAGGTAACTTGCAAGAACACAGGGTGAACTTCCTCCCACCTCCCACCCACTCGTGCTGGGAACCCACAGGGCCAGCAGCTTTGGACATTCATTCCCACATCCAGATGAGCCTCAGCACCTCACTGCATCTCTCCTCCCCAGGAGCTGTAAGAACAGCTCTCAGCCCCTCAGAAATATCGCAGCTCCTCCCTTTCCCCGTACTGGCTACCTGCCAGCCTTCATCACTTCCACCTTCCCCATACATGTCCCTCCGCGACCAGCTTTAACCCCACCTCAGTCCCATTGGGTTTGTGCTCTGGACCCAAACACCATGTGTGTGACAGCAGTTCTGAGGAATACAGCACGGAAATACAGCAGGTTCACTGACAACTCAAAAAGCATGTCGTAACAGCAAAATTAATCAAGGGAATGACATTAAAAAAAAAAAAAAGCCTTCAATCACAGCATGGCTGCTATAAATGAGCCTGTTCCACTCCCCGCTCAAAGATGTTTAATCCTGAAGGAGGACAAGACACCAGTGTGCTGACCCTCGTCACTAAACATGGCACACATTTGGGGAGGGAGACAGGAACACAGAAAATCCAAGGAGAAAGTCCACTTGCTTTAACCACTGCTGACAGACACCTATGGTGGTATTTGTAGTATGAGAACAGTGGAGTTTTTTCCAGAAGGCTTTAAGCGCTTCTCTCTCCTCTTCCCACCTTACAGAAAATGCTGTCTCCTCCTCCAAGATTGCAGATTGATTTATTCAATACTCAGAAGCAGGATAAAAGTGAGATGGAGCCAGATAGCTGTCAATTCATAGAAACAGGTTCAAAAAATGGTTCCTTCTTCCCAGAATATGGACATGCTTTTCTCAGCTCTCACCTACCATGCATTGAGGGGTTCTTTGTATCATATGGGGACAAGAAGTGATGAGACCAGAAAAGGGGGGAAGAAAGGAAAAGAAACAGAGGAACATCACAGACTGTCTAAAGCTGTTAGTCTGAAGTCAGACAATTTGTCACACAAAATGAGAAACATGTTTACGCATCACCCAAAAATAGAATCTTATCACAAAGAATTGTGTCCCTCTAAAGATGACCATTCTGATTCAAAACACTAAACTTTTCCACGGACAGACAAACACACAGAGCCTACTGAACTAAGCTCCTTCTTGCTGGCTTCCATCTCTCCCTTCCTCATCCCTCATCTAAAGTCAGCTAAAATTCAAGAGCAGTTTTCCAGTCATGTGGCTTTATACCAGCGTAATTATTGACTCACCTATTAGGAAGGACAGTTAGTGACGGCTCACCTGTTCTGGATAATACTTACACAATTTAAAAAGTTCAAGAAACTCCCCGCCCCAGCATTTCTTTTGCTTGTCCCTGGGCTCACAGTTTTTAGGCAGGAGGGGAAGCACAAGTTGTAACCTGCAGGCTGGGAGCTGCTCAAAGAACACTTCCTACCCAGCTGGGAAGAACCCAGTGCCAGGAAAGGGAACCATAAAGTCTGCTTCTGTACAAGCTCTGTATCATTTTTCCAAAGCTTGGTGGGGTTTGCACTTGGCCGAGTAAAAGCCTTAGTGATGCCAATGCTGCAGCTATCGGTGATGCATGTTTCCATTAACATGATGATGAAACTCCTGTGACAAGATGGTGGTGGGAGAGCAACAGGGACACGAGATTCAGCTGCTAAAAAAGACAGATTGCCTTTGTGGAGAACTCTCTTTCTTTTCTTACTCATCTTTAGTTTTCTATGGTTGCCAAGTGCCCTCCCCCTGACAACAACCCATGCCACCTTCTCACACTCTGAGGAATAATGTAAGGTTTAGGAGATTACAGGCTGTTAAAAAAGAAGAAAGGTGGTAGAAAGGGAGAACAGTGACAAATGTTAATAGTTACAGAACATTTACATAATGGCTTTTTTTATATTATTCCAAAAGATTCTAGAAAATTTTACAGGTATCTGCACAAGTCATGTTACAGTGTCAATGTTCCTAACAGGGTAAGTTAGCAGCAAGAACTCTATTTTAAAACATGATTGACTTTGTACAAACAGTTTTAAGGCTTTTGTATAAGAACATTAGACAGCAGCTTCAGAATATGATTTAAATGACACATAGTAATTGTACCCTGGTGTTCAAGTACGTACCAGGAATACATTACAGGGGACCGAATTATTACAATAGAAAGTCCTATCACTGTTCAATCTTTGTCAATGAGCACAGCACAAAAGGTTTTTAACAGCACAAGTATGAAGCAAGTTACCTTTCTTTGCTTTCTTCTGTAGCTTCAGTGTGTCAGATGATTTCTTTTTTATCTCTTGGCGGGCTTTTTTGTATTCTAAAAAAACACAGTCTCTATTATCAACATACTCGATGTCAAAATGAATGTTTTTCACAGAAAAGGCTATGTTTAAAGACATTAGACTGCAAATTTTAAGAGGACAGCTACTATTGATCAAAGCAACTTAGAACTTGCATTTTGTAGTGCCTATATGTTTGGCTTAATATAACATCTTAGGGTGTGAGCACATTCACATACCAAAATCTTTCCCAAATAAACAAAGCCTTTACAGAAATAACAACTGAGAACACAGTACAAAATTAGAGTGCTTTTCATTTCAGAGACTCATCCACTCTCAGGAATGGAAAACAGAGATGACAGGTTTCTCGAAACATCTGTGTTCAAAAACAAGTATCCAGAAATGGCAAAACAGAGAATATCCTGTGATCCCTCTCCAGTATGAGAGTCAGGCAGAGGGAAAGGGTGCTAAAACTTTGCCCAAGGAAGGGTCACTTTGCCAGCTCTTTCTGATGAAGTGGAACACACTGCAGTTGTCCTCATTTTCAGATGAGCTGCAAATCCTGGGAGAATTAAAATCCCAGAACAAAATATCCCACCTCTAGTCAAGGCACACTAAAGGTACCAGATACAAAAAGTGATACATTAAAAAAAAAAAAAGATAAAAGGCATGTATGCATGTATATACATATACACATACACTTTTAACAAAGGAGCTGAATGTTATCACTGTTCTATAGATGGAAAAACAGAAGCAGGCTGTTGGCAGGCACAGGAACTGTACCGGGGCCAACTACACCCCAACACCCAAGTCTATCCACTAAACCCTAAATCTCACTGCCACTTTGGCCAGGGTCACCCCTACCTGCAGGAACCCAGGTGATTCCTCCCTCCTGCTTACAACCTGCTTAACACTCTCTGCAGCACAAGGTGGAAGTTTTTGCAAGAGCTGCTGATTTAGCTGCTTCTATTTGACCACAGTTATAGTGCGGTAAGAAGCAAATCCTCTTTTGGAGGCCAAGTACACTCCTTCCCATCAGTCCTCACCCTCCCCAAAATAAATTATGGTGATGCTGCTTCTTTCAGACCTAGCAAAAGTCTTCAATTTTCAAGGGTCAGTGGTGAACTGCAACCTGCTTTCAGCACCCGTGCTAGAGGGCCATCATCCCCAATACAACTTTTGCAAAGCCAAAGGCATCTACCAACGTGTTCTTGCTGTGCAAGACTTTGCTGCCTCCTGCTCATTCCCCCAGGAAAGCCTCTGGAGCCATCATCAGCACTGCAGCTCTGAGCATCCCATGTCCAACAACACAACTCTCCTGCTCCCCAGGTGCACATTTCTGTATCGCATCAGATATAAAATAACGATGCTGAATGTTTTACAGGGCTGTGCATTCTCTGGAGGATGCTATGTCTGAGACATAACATGATCTAACAGTTAGCTTTTAACTACACCCCGGGGCTTTGCAGGGACAGATGCAGCGTCCCCAATCCTCAGCACTACTGGAGATCATACAGTGAGAGTGGGCTAACAGAGTCAAACCCAGTCACTGCTTACCAGTCTAGAAAAACAACCCATCCCTTGGGGTCCTGCAAACTAAACCTTCAAAAAGTATATGCAAGGGTTAAAATTTTGTTAGGCACTTTGGGAGAGGACTGTTTTAGAAGAGAAGAGTTGCTATACATGTTTATGCGCGTCATTCAGTTCCCCAGTACAAACATGAAAAGAGGAAGAAAAGCTGATATTACAATCTTACTCCTATCAAAGAATTCTTCCTCTGTAACTACCTTTTGCATGGTCTTTATCCAGTTGATTGGCCACTTTCTTCCACTCTTCCATCTGTTCTTGAAGTGGGTTTATCAGACAGTCAATTAAAGCACTAATTTTGTTGAAAAAACACAAAGAGCAATCAAATCCTGCAGATGCCCCTATTCTTATATAGAGAGCCAAGGTCAATATTGGAGTATTTTTACTTTTTGCTGTGACAGCTACCAGTGTCACAATGTAAATATCAGAACATAAAAATGTTATCACTGGAAAAAGCAAAAGAAAGGACTGGATCAAAAAAAAATCCACATCACAAGATAACCATAATTACTGCGCAAAAGTTCAGGACAGTGAGGAACAGAGCGTAAACCAGAGGAGTGACCCGAAACAGGGCCAAGGTAAACAGATCCTACTCATCTGTCACACAAAGAGCAGTTTAAATGGATACTCCAGAGACCAGAAAGGTTCATGCAGCCATGAAGATTATAAACTTAAATAACACATGTATATGCACAAGAAGACAGAGCAGTTGTACAAGCGAACAACATCCTGCCCACTGATGTGCCTCACCTCTCACCAGTGGAGGCCATGATATAGCACTAGTAATTAATGAGATTGGGATCGAACCATTTAAGCAGCTAACTCTGAGGTAACTAGAGCCTAAAGTTGTCTCCTCACAGCCAATTTCACAAAAGTCTTTATTTTAAAAGGGAAAAAACCATCCCAGGTCATCATGCAGGTGAAGCATCATTTTGGTTCACCTCAGGTCAAGTATAACTTCTAAGTCTGGTTAAAAAAGGTACATGTGCAAACTACTACTTACTACAGAAGTAGGGTTTTTATGTATAGCCCAGCTTACACATGAGCTGATTCTCTCCCATTACCTCTACAGTCTACCTTTAACTGCAAAAAGGGGATGAGAGAATTTGCCTTTTCCATACTTGTTTGCTAAAAGTTTCTCACTTGGCCACAAGCTATTTGGGCTCTCCAGTAAGCTGAGGAAGCAGCAAAACATTTGCTCCTGCTTTAAAACTTAATGACAAAGCCTAAAGTCCTGAAACAAAGACAGGGTGGTCACATCAGCAGCCGGTGCTCAGCACCGAGCAACAGGAACCGACAGTGGGAACTCGCAGCATTTGGAGTGATCTGAGGTGACAAGCCCAGTCCCCAGAACATGCAGTGAAACCCTGCATGTTCACAACACTTAGTGTGCTGCAGGGGAGAAAACAACTGCTGTTCTCAGCGACAGGGTCAGAGATCAGATGGAAAGCCAATGCTGGTGAGCAGCTTTAGGAGTTTCCCAGTAGCAAATGAAAGACAAACCTCAAACTCTGGGCCAGGTACAGAGCCACTCACCTTGAGAACTGCCGGAGTTTGGACTCTATACTTCTGTGCCTCATACACATCCTGGTGAGAGCAGACCCAATCTCTCTGGTACCACCTGAAAAACAAAACACGAGGAAGGTGAGACCCCTGATGAGATTCCTGCCTGTGGTGTAGGCATGTCAACCAGAAGGCAGGTGCCAAGTCTTCCAGAGCAACTGTAAAACAGATTCATAATAACTGTGGAATCAACCAGGCTATTAACCAGGCAGACCTCAAGGAAATCTACCACCTTGGGAAGAGATTAATTCTTGTTCATCCAGAGACCAGAACTGAACAATTAAACACGATTAAAACACAGTTCTTCCCAGCACCTTTATGTGCCATGAGGCCAAACTCCTTGGCAGAAGAGTTAAAAGAAAAGGGTTTGAGATGTCAAAAGCCAAGAAACAAAGCTGGCAAGCAGGTAGGCATCTACAAACAGTTTATTTCCACATTTTGGAACTAAACCTAGGGGATTTGATCCAATTTTCCCATCTCTAGATTGCTTAGACCCAGTGCCTCAAAAGGATTTTGCTCCTCCAGAATATGTAACTAATCCTACATATTGCCTCATACATCACTGATAGATACCATCAGTGTATCACATGTACCTGCCACCTCAGAGCACGCATATATTTTTCATTACATTTCCAGAAGGTGGCACTATTTGCTCTGTACCCTCATCTCAGTTTCTGACAACTGTGTGACAGCAAGAATAATTTTTTGCAAGTGTTCCTCCTCCAAAGTTTTCCCTTTTAAAAGCACACATTCCTCCATTTCCCACTTTAATAGCCATTACCAACTTTGATCAGCCTATTAAATTTCAATATAATGTTGTTTTGGTTAGTGTTAGTTTTGATAATCAGTTAGTTCCTATTTGCAAGCCAAATCTATTATTCTCAGGGTACAAACATCAACCTTTGTACAAAACTTTTCCAAAGTGTAGTATTCTCTGGAACAGCAAAGATATCAGCATCTATTTAAAAGTCTCATTTGATTATTAAAATAACCTTAGACTTGTAATATACAGTAAAATAGCTTCCTTAGGCTTTAAAAATGGTATTGCGCAAGTAAAAAATATTTTCCTAGTAAAGAAACTTGAAAATTTTAATAATTTTATTTATTTTTTAAGCATGAAAACAAGCCACCATCTTCCTGCATTCTTGCAGAATTAAATCCTGTGCCCACGAAATGGCTCTGGAACAAAGACACTAAATAACTAGAACAAATTGTGGCTATTTGGTATTTTCCATTGTTCAAAAAGATAAACAGAAAGTCCTTTGTCACTTGCTCAATTACTCATGTTTTTATAAGAAGCTTTTGAAATAATATTATTTGGTAACACTGAAGAGTTGTAGCCTTGCTGCATACGGGTAGCTGGGAAAAGCATACGGACTCCAGCCTGGACCCGAACCCATCTCTTCCGGCGATGCTGCACTTGCACAAGCTGTGACAGACTCTGGTAACTTGAAAAGCAATACAGAACATGGGGAAAGGCGTACTGGAGAGAAGGCAACTGGAGGAAGAGGACAATGTCCACAACGAAAAGTGGATCTCTGTCCCAAAACATGGGCATCTTTCTTTGGAGCCACTGCCAAATAAAAGTAACTCGGAGCTTAAGGCTGCACAACTCCAACGGCAGAGATGGAGAAATGAACCAAACACTTCCACGGCCATCACCGGCACAGTTCCCAACCGAGTTTAAGCAAAAGGCAGGCTTTTCAGGTTGAAAACTCACGGAAATACTGGAATGTTAAGGACTGTCTATGGTGAAGTGACACTACTTCCCTAAGCCTGTTATATGAAAAAAGGAAGAGTCATTTCAGAACAATAACTAGGAAATAAGGCACCATGTGTTTTGAAGACTAGGAAACAAAGGTCAGTTACTATTAATACTAAATTAATTACTATTAATAATAAATTAAGTATTTATAAGCCTGGACAGGCTGGACCGATGGGCCGAAGCCAACTGTATGA